CTATACTGTATTCTATTCTATTTTCTATTTTCATTCCATTCCATTCCTACTCTTTATTCTATTCTATTGTTTATACCTATTCTATTATCTTTCTTCTATTCTATTCTATTCTATTCTATTCTATTCTATTCTATTCTATTCTATATTCTCTTCAATCCCCTAAATTCAAGACAAAAAAAAATTGTGTATTTTTGAGAGCTACCACGTCCAAGAGAACGAAAACCATATTTTCCTTCCTGCTGTTGAACGTGTGGGCATGAGATGTGCTGAAGTAGAGATGCTTCATCCAATGATTGTTTACCTGTGAGTAATTTTGGATTACGGGCTGCTTGGGTGCATTGCACTAGCCACAGCCTGGGATCCATCCAGCCCCTCGCTCCCCATTTGGTACTTCGCCTGTGATTCCTCCTCCTCACCAGCCCCCTGCGCTTTCTTTCCAAATACAGGTAGTCCTCTAATTACAATGGCTCATCTAGTGACTTGTGGCCGTTTTCACACTTACGACCCTCGCAGTGTTCCCCATGGTCACCTGATCAAAATTCAGACGCTTGGCAACCGTCTCATAGTTATGACGGTCTTAAGTGTTCGCGGCGGTCATGCAGTCCCGTTTGGCGACCTTCTGACAGGCAAAATCCACGGTGGGGGGCAGCCGGATTCAGTTCATCACCTTGCGACTTAACAACGGCAGTGGTTCACTTAACAACGGGGGCGGGGGGGTAGAAAGTTTGTGAAATGGGGCAAAATTCGCTTCTTGACAATTCTCTCGCTTCGCAGCACAGAGGTTGGGCTCAGTGGGGCAGGGGTGGGGTTCCAATTTTTTTTTTTACTACCGGTTCGGTGGGCGTGGCTTGGTGGGCGTGGCAGGGGAAGGATACTGCAACATCCCCATTCCCTCCCCTCCCCACTAACCTGCTTTCCAGCTCTGTTCTCCTGGGCAGGATCAGCCGGGACTCAGGGGGAGGCAGAGAATAGATGGGGGTTGGCAGGGCCAGTCAGAGGTGTTATTGGGACGGTTCTCCCAACGGCTCAGACTTTCTACTATTGGTTCTCCAGAATTGGTCAGAACCAGCGGAAGACCACCTCTGCAGTGGTGGTCGTAAGTTGGGGATGGCCTGTACAGACCGGAACCCAAGCTCTTCCATCAGCTGCTTTGCATCAGCTGGCGAGACCCTGGATGGACACCTAACAAACCAACCGATGGCTGTTTTTGGAGACAATTCACAAGCAAGCATTGCTCATTTAACAAGGTGTTTAACCAGCAGGGTGTAACCTAAAGAGATTTTTTTTCCCCCACCCACACAAATGTCTCAAAAATAGTCCTTTTTCCCCCCCAGGAACCAATTATCTCAGCAGTTTTGGATGGATTTCTGCACCTCTGCAGACGGCTGGACAAAGAGCAGGCGAGTCTTTAGACACGTGTAGCATTTTGGTACCTACTAAGAGACAAAGGGGTGCATAGTGGCTAAGACGCTGAGCTTGTCGATCAGAAAGGGTTCGGTGGTTCGAATCCCCAGCGCCACGTGACGGAATGAGCTCCCATTACTTATCCCAGCTTCTGCCAACCTAGCAGTTCGAAAGCACGTAAAAAATGCAAGCAGGAAAATAGGGGCCCCTTTGGTGGGAAGGGAACAATGTTCGGTGCGCCTTCAGCATTTAGTCCTGCCGGCCACATGACCACGGAGACGTCTTCGGACAGCGCTGGCTCTTCTTCGGCTTTGTGACGGAGATGAGCAGCGCCCACTAGAGCCGGAAATGACTACCATGGATGTGCGAGGGGAACCTTTTATCTTAAGAGAGAGAGGGAGAAATGCACTGCAATTTCCCTCTTTTCCATATTCTGGGAGAGTTGGGAGATTTTTTTAAAAAAAACTATGGTTTTTTACTTTAAAGTGCATTCAACCGATTTTAATCCATGTGGGCCTTTGCGAACGGTACTGGCCATTTTCAGTGAGTGTGAAATGTAGTGAATTTTGGAAATTGGGAACCTCGGTGTTTAGGTGGAAGTTCTTTCTGGCTTTCTTGGTTCACGAGCGAGAAGTGGGGGGCCTGTTTGTGCAAGGCCCCGTGTGAGCTCCGTGGTCAAGTTTGAAGACAAAAACGTCGAGAGAGAAACGACAACCTTTTCGGACACCACACACAGTCCCAGACTTGTTCGGAAGCAATGCCAACGCTGCAGAAGGATTTAATTCTTCAATCTTGCTTTGGCTCGTTTGGTTCAAAACGGCCCAGATTTGAAATCCCCCTCCCTCCCTTCCTTCTTTCCTTCCTTCCTTCCCCCTTGTTTTCCAAAAGTCACAGATGTTCCCCGTGCCTTTGTTGTCTTGTTAAAGTGCTACTTGGAAGGAAAGACTGATCTGGAACACAAGAGATGGAAGGAAAACACAAGGGACTGTTGGCTTCTAAAACATGGCTGGGCTTTAGTGGATCCAAGCAACGACCAACCCCAAAAGTTCCTCCAAAGAAACCCCCTTACCCCACAGCCCTGTCCCCCTAAAACTTGTGATAAAGGTGTGAAAATGTGGAGAGTCTGTCTCCAAATGGCGTCAGAGCAAGGAAGATCAAAAAGCCCAGCTGCAGAGGAAATAAATCCCCCTTTTTCTCCGCCTCTTTCCCACAAACATGACCAGATTTATGGCATTCTCAAGAGATCGGTCTCCAGAGGGAGAAGAGATCCGTCTGAACACACTCTTTCTCGAGTAGCTTCCGTGTGCGTTGTACGGATCGTGTCCTGCACACCGGCGATGGGAGCTGGCATTCAACCTCCTCTTGATTGAGGAAAAAAAGGGGAGAAATTATTTGGGCGCCACGAGCTCGGGGCCAAAAGCGCAAGTCAATCGACTTGGATAGCGTCTTCTCCAAAAGCGCTGGACTACAACTCCCGTCCCAGAGCCTCTGGCCAACAGCCCTTCCTGGATGCTGTGATGGAAACCGAGGTCCAATACCCCCCGAGGACCACAAATCTGGTTTGGAGGTTGTCTTTCCAAAATACACTCAAGATCTTCCATGTTACCGGAAGCCATGAAGGAAACTTCAGACGCAAGATTGTTCAGGTAGGATTTAAACAGGGGTTACAACAGTTTCTCTTCATACTCTTTGCCCAGCTACTGAGTCCACAAAGAAGAAAGTTTAAACTCTGTTCTGGTAAAAGTTCATAATACTGCTGAACAAGGTTTCTCCTCAGTCTGGCACACACATATATATATATTTACACACACAGTCCCTTCCCATGTTCCTAAGTGGCACGCCGAGGGACATGGCAAGAAAATCCATCTTCTGCCCAGTTGTGGGGGAGATGCCCTCCCTTCCTGTTGGCCACCTTCCACTTCGCCACCCCCAAATCTGGAACTGGCAGAATCTCCCACCAGGGAATTACAAAAACGGTTCCCTTCGCAAGCTGGCGACGGTGACGCCATCTTGGCAGGAAAAGGGGCTTTTGGCTCTCTTCTTCTTCTTCGTCGTCCTTCCGGTTCCCAAATCCAGACAGGCGTCCCCACCCACAACAAGCCCAGCTTCCAGTCCTCTCCCGGGTGGCCAAAGGGCCCCCCCTGGATTCTGTGCCTCAGTTTCCCCGCTTTCGCCCACCGGAACAGGAAGGGAAAGGGGAAGAGAGAAGAGAGAAGAGAGAAGCGGGGAGAGAAACGGAGGAGTTTGGGGGGCTTTGGGTGGGAGTTCAGTCGTACTCCGGGCGGGCGTGGGGCTTGGCAGCCTCGCCTGCAGGGAGGTGGATGAAGGGGCCGTCGGGATGGGGGCGTTCTTCGAGGTTCAGGTACTCCGGCTGGCCTAACTCGCACGCCTGGCAGCTGCAGTGCAAGATTTTTTCCACCAGCTTGTCCACCCGGGAGCTGTATTCGTTGTGGGGGCAGTCCAGCGAAACCTGGGGGAAAAAGAGGAGGCAGGATGAGGAGGTGCGTAGCAGCCCCAAAATTCTTGGGAATGGGCTCGGAAGGAAGAAGCCCCCTTCCTTTCCCAAACCTGACTTTAAAATCACCTAATTCTCTACAAAATGTGGATTGTTTTGTTTGCTTCTGCTTAGTCTACCCTAGCTGGGATTTTCCTACGCCCCTTAGCACGCCTGACCACCCTCTCTCTCTGCGTCCCTATCGGTGGTGGGATTCAAATTTTTTTATTGCCAATTCAGTGGGTGTGGCTTGGTGGGCGTGGCAAGGGAAGGATATACTGCAAAATCCCCATTTCCCTCCCCACCCCACTAACCTGCTTTCCAGCTCCGTTCTCCTGGGCAGAGCAACCAAAGGAGACCCAGCCGATCAGCTGGGACTCGATGGGAGAATAGATGGGGTTGGCGGGGCCAGTTGGAGGTGGTTCTTTTGCCGGTTCTCTGGACTACTAAAAATTTCCGCTACCGGTTCTGGAGAACCGGTCAGAACCGGCTGAATATCCACCTCTGATCCATAAAGGGAAGGACTGTGTTACTGCAAATGGGCACGGTGCCCAAGCACCCTGCGTGCAACCCGCACCCTTATCCCGGGGCAAAGCGCAGAGACTCACGATATCCCACTGGATGTTCGAGGGCATGCAGGAGTCGCAATGCACCAGGGACTCCGTCGACCGCGGCAAAGTGTTGGGGACGCTGTAGCTGAAGCACTGGCCCATGCAGGCTCTGGGAGAGGAGGAAGAAGGAATTAGGGCAGCGGTTCCCAAACTTTTTCAGTCCACCGCCCCCTTGGAGCCACAAACTCATCCTCGGTGCCCCCCACCCAGGGGCGGGATTCAAATTTATGTGGGCGTGGCCTAATTTGAGGGCGCGGCTTGCTAGTCACGCGACTTGGTGGGCGTGGCTTGCTGGTCACGTGACTTGCTGGCTGGGCGTGGCTTGCTGGTCACATGACTGGGTAGGTGTGATCTGGTGGTCATGTGACTGGGTGGGCGTGGCCAGGTAACTGGCAAACCAAATACAAGTGGTCCTCACTTAATGGCCGGTTGTTCAGCAAGTGTTCTAATTTATGGCTGGCCTCCCCAGAGCTACTTGACCTGTTTTTGGAGTTTGGACAGCCATGCACACACACACACACACACACACCCTTCAAATCCTGCTGGAGCACGAGAAACGGCAAAGCATCTCTGATTAGATTCTAGTAGTGAATAGAATCTAATCAGGGATGCTTTGCCGATTCTTGTTGATTTGTTTTATTTTGTATTCCTTTATTTTATGTTGCTGAATTGCATTGATATGTGTGTCCCTTCTTGTGCCCAGCCCAGAAGCTGTTGTGATTTTTTGCAGCAAAAATTACCGACCTCTGGCTTTGCTCTACTTTTCAAACATGCTGCCATTGCTGCGTTTTGGTGGAACTCGGCGTCCTGGGTCTGCCTGATGCCCACAGGGGGACCCATTTGGAGGGGAAACTTTGGCACAGAAGGAAGAGCTCCAACTCTTCGGCTTTTTAAAAGATTCCCGGCACCACCAGACCCCCAGCACGGGTGGGCTAATGTGGGCATCCTTCCCAAGGAAAGCCAACAGCAACAGGAATTGCTGTCCAAATTTGCATAGAATGACAGAGTTGGAAGGGACCTTGTAAGGTCATCTAGTCCAACCCCCCCTGCCCAAGCAGGAGACCCTACACCTCTGATGGCGAACTTATGGCACGCATGCCACAGGTGGCACGCAGGTCCATTTGTGTGGGCAGCTGATTTTCAGGCCTTTTTCGGCCTTCCTGTGAAACGGGCCCATTTTTCGTCCTGCAAAGGCTACAGAGGCTTCCCTCAAGCCTCTGGGAGGCCGAAAAAGGCCTCAAACGGACCCAAAATCAGCTGTGCAGTGCAGATAATGGGGCGGTGGGGGGATCACACACGCATGTGCAGGGGGCGGTGGGGGGGCTGTGCATATTGCCTTCTGGGTGCTGGTGCGCAAGCGTGCAAGCACACAATTTTTGGCACAGGAGCCCCAAAACGTTAGCCACCACTGCCCTGTAACATGTTTACAATTGTAAGTATGCCAGTACAATTAATACGATCCTAAATAAGCGAATATAATTACAAATATTGTTATAATTATTACATGCATTATCATCACTGTCAGTCCACCCGTTGTTTTCTTCCTTTGTAAATCGAAGTGCCTTCACAATACGCTGCTTTCAAAGTATTTATTGATATATAAATTTAAAAAAAAAAACTTGACTTCAAAAGAGGGAAGACGGTGGAATCACGAGGCTGAGAGTGAAGGGGCCATACCTGTTTTGGATGGATTTAGAATTGCATCCGGTGTGTCCGATAATCTGGGTGATGTTCTTGGCCTCGCACCAGGCGTTCTTGTCCGGAAACAGGGCGAGTTTGTTAATGTGAGACGGGGCAGATAAACTCAGGCAGGGGAGGAACGCGCTCAGCAGAAGCCTCAGCATCCTGGCTTGCCTGGAAGTGGGTTCAAAAAGCAACTTTTTTAAATGGTTGGAAAAGAACTTTTTTTTTTCTTCCCTCCCCTCTGTTCCTCTCTCAAAGTTCCCAGGCTATACATTTCCGACGATGCGTAGGGCTTAACGGCCACCAGTCAGCCCAACATTTCGGTTGCTGAGCGAGGCGGTGGCTACGTGAGTTGTGTGCCCCGTTTTAAGACCTTCCGTGCCACCGTTGTTAAGCGAATCACTGCATTGGTTAAGCTAGTAATCAGGTTGTGGGAGCTTCATCCCTTGGAGGCTTTCAAGAAGAGATTGGACTGCCACCTGACAGGAAGGGTGTAGGGCCTCTCCTACTTGGGGAGGGGTTGGACTAGATGACCTCCAAGACCCCCTTCCAACTCTGTTAAAATCTGTAATCAGGTTGTTAAAGGAATCTGACTTCCCCATTGACTTCTGCCTGTCAGAAGGTCCCCAAAAGGGATCACGTGACCCCCCCGGGGAATGCTGCGACCGTCATAAATACGAATCAGTCGCCCGAGCATCCAAATTTGGACCACGTGACCTTTGAGAATGCTGCAATGGACATTAGTGTGAAAAACGGTCATAAGTCCGTTTTCTTGGGTCTGCTGTAACTTTCAACAGTCACTGAATGAATTGTTGTAAGTCGAGGGCTATGTGTATACAAAAAAAATCCACCAAACCTCAAGACTATTCTATTTCTTTTTTTAAAAAACTCCTTCCACATTTCTAAAGAGAGATTCTTGTTGAGAACTGGAATTGTTTTTAAGAGAGAGAGAGATTGCAGTCCATAATGAGTTTGTATTTCTGCATCTGAAGACATTCTGCATAAATCAAACACTCTACTAAGCAGCTTATCTAGGAGTAAAAATGCACCCTCCTAAAGCAGTGTAAATAAAATAGATGCAATGCACAAAAAATGACATTTAAAAAAAATAAAAAATAAAGCAATAAGACTAATTTTTTTAAAAAAAATGGAAGGGCGTCCTGTAGGTTTTCTTGAAGGCAGGTAGAATTTTAAAAGGAAGCCACAACAAATCATTCCAGGAATGGGTTTAAACGAGCAGAATCAAGTTGTGTGATTGAAATAGAATTTTATACTATAATTCAAAATTCTTATATAGCTAAGTGTGAGAAAAAGACTGCAATTTAGCATATGGCCAGCAGGGGTCACTGCAAGGAAAGGCAAATGGATAAAATCTAGTTTTATGGATTTTTTTTTTATTTTTATTTTTGCAAAGTTTGCTTTTAAAAAAGTAAAGATAAAGAAAACAAAAGTAAAAACTACAAATTCTGTGTTGTCTTCCTGGAAATATCCATGTTGTTTTCTCAGCAAAAATATAGGTTAGGTTATTCCAGAGGTCTCCAAACTTGGCAACTTTAAGACTTGTGGACTTCAACTCCCAGAATTAAAGTTGCCAAGTTTGAGGACCCTTGGGTTATTATGCTGTGAAACTTGACTTCCCAAACTACCAGATTTCCTGGTGGTGACTTGTCTAAGGAAAATCTCGGCCACGCCCTTTCCTTTAGCAACTTGTTCTGGGTCTGTGAACATTTTTCCACTGAATGCTTCATCTCAAAAACAAATCTTCAGTCTGGGAAGTTGGTAAGTGGTGCAGGATTGCCTTACCTATTAGAGAGAAATTGGGCTTCGAAGCCAAAGATGTTATCTACATTTTATCCTTAGGTGGAGTTAAATATTTCCAAACTTTTTCACCGCCCCCTGCTATTATTTGACATTATTTCCATGATGAGCAATGTTCTGTTCGTGACAATACTCCCAAAAGTTTTGAAAAAGCCTTAAGCAAGATCGGTTTAAGTTGTCATTATTTGCCTGGGACAATTACCCACAGAATGGGGTTGCTGATTGGATGCTATAAATATTTTCATACTTTCCTCTTTATGGCTGCCATTTACAGATGTGAAGTCAAACGAGATCCAGAGCCAGACTAAATCCAGCAATCGATGTTTATCTGGAGAAGGAATTCCGAATTATTTTAGATATCCTAGGTGAGTTGGTAATTTATAATTCAGCTTGTGAAAACTGATGCATTTTAATAAAAGGAAATGCTCTAGCAAACTCCTTCTGGTGGTGATCTAAAATTGAGCTGATTCTTAGTGGACTGATCTGGAAAAAAAAAAATCTGGTTTGAATGGTGGATCACAAGGAAATGGGCAAAGATTTGGGGTAGAATAGTGTTTTGCAGGAAGCATCCCTGGAGGAGGATTGAATAAATGAAATTCAAGGGTGAAAAAAGGAAAGTTCTACAATTTAGGCAAGAAAAACCAAAATGCCACAGGTACAGTATAGGTGGTACCTCGCTCAATAGTAGTAACGGTGAGAGGGATCTTGGAGTCCTAGTGGGCAACCATTTAAATCTGAGCCAGCCGTGTGCAACAGCTGCCAAAAAAGCCAATGCAGTTCTAGGCTGCATCAACAGAGGGATAGAATCAAGATCACCTGGAGTGTTAATAATATAACTTTATAAGGTAAGGCCACCCTTGGAAGACTGCATTCAATTTTGGTCGCCACGGTGTAAAAAAGAGGTTGAGGCTCTAGAAAAGGTGCAGAGAAGAGCAACCAAGATGATTAGGAGGCTAAAACATATGAAGAATGGTTGGGTATGTCTAGTGGTTTAATGAAAAGAAGGACCAGGGGAGACATGATAGCAGTGTTCCAACATCTCAGGGACTGCCCCAAAGAAGAGGGAGTCAAGCTATTCTCCAAAGCACCTGAGAAGGCAGGACAAGAAGCAATAAATGGATGGAAACTAATCAAAGAGAGAAGCAACTTAGAAGTAAGGAGGAATTTCCTAACAATGAAGACAATTAACCAGTGGAACAACTTTCCTCCAGAAGCTGTGAATGCTCCAACACTGGAAGTTTCTAAGAAGAGATTGGATAACCATTTGTCTGAAGTGGTGTAGGGTTTCCTGCCTAAGCAGGGGGTTGGACTAGAAGACCTCCAAGGTCCCTTCCAACTCTGTTATTCTATTCTATTCTATTCTATTCTATTCTATTCTATTCTATTCTA